AGGCCAGGGTGATCAGACATCCTCTGAAGCGTGATGGAGGACAAGGAGCCTGGTCAGATGTCAAGGGTGATCAGATGTTGAGGGTCGGGGGTTCTTGCTAAATTGACTTAGCAGGGCTCTTTGCTAAAACTGGATTTTACAAGGATGTGCACAGATGGGCCTACGAGAAGATTCAGAGCTCAACTGAAATTTGGCCAAGCAAAGAATTTTTGTTATGTGATAAGCCACTGTTCAAGAATAAAAATACGTTTTACATGTGAAAATGACACCTATGAAGTCCTCTAGAAAACTCTGGTATGGCTTTAAAGCTGATGATATTCCAGCCTTAGAGATAGTTAAAAAAAAAAACAAACTTACATTTCCTGGCAATCTAGGAATATTAACACATATGGGAATCTTAGAGAAACTGGTGCTGATAGAACACTTCACACATAAAAGTAATTTCTTCCCAGCCCTAGGGGCTTTACACAGCCTCCAGACAGAAGCTCACTGTAAAGCCTTAATATCACGTGGCTCTGGCTTTGCTAGCCATACAAAAAGAAAGTATTTATTTATTCATCAACACCTCCTGTTATGCCAATAGAAATAAATTTTGGTCAAATAAAACAAAATATCGATTTGACGATGCTGCATCAGGAAGTTATTAAGCAGCATATATGGTTAAACCCATACCTCACTGGCAAGGACTTGCCCAAAAGGAAGGAAAAACCACAGAAGCAAAACCCAACTCTTCACTCTGCTGGCTTCATTCACGACCAAGTACCACTGAGGGGTGGGGATGAGGGTAATTTGCATCTGGAGATAAGCCAAAAATAACAAGTTATCCTAACTGGTTTGGGACTCCAAAATAATAAGCCTTGACTATTTCCCATAAATTTGGATTCCCGGCTGGGTATGGTGGCACATGCCTATAATCCCAGCACTTTGGGAGGCTACATCAGGAGGATGGCTTGAGCTCAGGAGTTCAAGGCTGCAGTGAGCTGAAATCACGCCACTGCACTCCAGCCTGGGTGACAGACTGAGACCTTGTCTCAAAAAAAAAATTGAATTCCCCCAAAAAATCTGTTTCATCCCTGAGTCTTGCTATGCTGATAAGTGATGATGTGTTGTAAAAACGATGCTGATCTCCATCAAACGTGATAACCTGGGCTTATTTTTTGCCCCGTTCAAATACCTGTTGCATTTTGTAATTCACGAGTCAGTATTTCTGAAGTCTGACTTGCTCCTGCTTTTCACAAGCAACTGTTTTCTTCCCTAAGTGTTTCTGCCTCTGGGTCTTTGACAGCTTCTACTGTGTGCCAGCGCCACCACTGAGCTGAGGATTTGGAGATGATTTGAATTCCTGCCTGGCAGAAGTCCATCATCTGGAGGAAGAGACTACCCGTAAATGAGACAGTTCTCTTCAAGTGTTTGGTGGGGCATCAACACCACATCTGTTTGCTCTGACATGCCATGAAAAATGAAGGAATCCTCGAAAGCACTGTGCCCAAGGGGCCAGCCCCAGGTCCCAGGAACTTGTTTTCTGAGTGGTGGTAATGTCCACCTTCTGGCTCCTGATCCAGCCTCATCTTGTGCCTCCCTTGAGCTCCTTCCCTCTAATTTCATGCCACAACCACTCTTGAATTCTTCTGGTTCCCGAAACCTAACAGCCTCTTCCTGTCCTGGGTTTTTTGCACACTTTTTTGGAGGAGTGGGGGCAGGGGACAGGCTAACGCCTACCCTTCCTTTGAAATACATTACTTGTTATTCTTGGTTTAATATCCATCTTCTTCGCCAGACTGTATGCTTCATGAGGACAGGGACTGCCTCTCTGTTCCCACTCACTTTTCTGCCCCTACTGTCTACCTCAGTGCAAGGCAACTCGGTACACTTGCTTAACAAGCCCTGGTGGAACACTGTCAGTGTACTGTGGTGCCTTGGGAAATTCAGTCAGGATGCTTGTTTTGTGGTTTCACGGCACCTCCTGAGTCAGTTCTTCACGGGGTAACAAGAACTGAATAAGATGAAATGCTGAGAACATCAGGGTTTAAACTCTAAATATAAGAGTATGAAGTTATGCACCATTCTGAGATCATTAGTTTCTTCATTCATTCGGTGAGTACTTTACTCAGCGTCTACTATGTCTCAAGCACTGGGGATAGCTACAGAGGTGGACAAAATGACCAAGCCCTTGCCTTTACTGAGTTTATAGTCTAGTGAGGGAGTAGACAATAAAACTTCCACCCCACACACAATATATAAAATTACAACTGAGTCAGGTGCTAAGGAGAGAGGTACAAAGTGCTGGGACAGCCCGATAGCGGGTTTTCTGTCACCTGGAGACGGTCTTCTCTGCAGACAAGGAGTCTGCTGAGCTGCAATCTAAAGAATGAGGCCATAGAAGAGCAGTGGCGGGCAGTGATTCTCCACGGGTTGCCTGCATTTCCTGAACAGCTATGGGCAGAGGCACAGCTGCTTTGTTCTAGGTAATCGTTTTAGTGATGTTTGTACAACACACGGCCTCGGAAGATAGAAATCGTGTTCCTCTCCAGAGCAAAAGGCAGATTTGTTTACCATCCAGTAATAAAGATCCTGTCTCCCTTTTCCTGGGCTGGCCGAGGTGAGGAGGGCTTACTGCTCATCATGAAAGGTTTGGGTTCCTTAAACTAGGGATTCCTCTGCTGTGATGTAACTCATTGCATTCATAGCATCGACCTGGGCTCCTCCCACATCGTCCTTGTGGAACTTGGGGGCTAAGAGGAACTGACTCAAACATGAAGTTCCTTCTGCTTGCTGTGCCATGGATAATAAAGTCCTTTGTCTCTGACCTAGGAGTCTCGTGTCTTCTGCCAACATCCATGAAACTATAGCTAAAAACATTAGCTTCCAAGTAGCATAAAATCTCGGATCTTTCATAGTTATTTACAGGCAAGTGAATGGCAGATACAAAGGCCCTGTGCTGGGAGGCAGTAGAGCAAATGTAAGGATCTAAAAGAAGACATACATGCATGGGCAGAGTAGAGGGAGTGCAGAAGTCATGGCCTGAGATGAGGCTGGGAGGTGGTGAGCCATGGGACCCTTGGCCAATCCTGCTGGCGTGTATCTTGGCCATTTGTTGTGACAATGCTGCCTTCATACAGAAAATGTGGAATTAATAAGCTGAGCTTGATAGAGAATAGGGAAGGCTTGGGCCAATCTAAGCCTATGAAATAATTTGTAACAAAGGAAAATAGTGAAAATAGGAGGTGATTTCTTAACATCTGTGCTCTGTGATGAAAATTTTGCATTTGCATGCCCCTTCATGATACCACTATTAGAAATTAGAAGTCCTCTTCTCAGTGCCCCAAGTGAACAACATGAAGCTATCATTCACTATCATTGCTGTCAATCATCCTGGGTACAAAAGGAGAGAGTCACCTTAAAAAGGAGAAGTGGGACAGATTCGATGGCTCACGCCTGCAATCCCAGCACTCTGGGAGGCAGTGGCGGGCAGATCACAAGGTCAGGAGATCGAAACCATCCTGGCCAACATGGTGAAACCCTCATCTCTACTAAAAATACAAAAATTAGCCAGGCGTGGTGGCATGTGCCTATAATCCCAACTACTCAGGAGGCTGAGGCAGGAGAATTGCTCGAACCAGGGAGTGGGAGGTTGCAGTGAGCTGAGGTTGCGCCATTGCACTCCAGCCTGGCGACACAGCCAGACTCCATCTCAAAAAAAAAAAAAAGTGATGCCCCTTTAGTATTCACTGAGCGTGATTCTGGACAAACCACTTTTTGTTCACCCGGTTTACAATGAAAGGAAGGGACTGGCTGCTTTTTAGAGAAAGAGAAGGGGAGAGATGGAGAGAAGAGGGAGCAAGGAGAGAGACCTCACCAAGAGAGGGCTGCAAAACTGGTCTGGACAAATCTGATTATTACCTAAATTAGTGAAAAATAAAGATACTTTCTTGAGAAGCCCTTGGACCCATGCTGGGTCTTGGAGTTCTGAACTTTCTGCTCACTGCCTATTAGTTAATGTTAAGCCTGCAAAGAATGGAGTTGTCCTGGCTATTTAGCGGAAAAAAAAAAAAAGGATCCACAAACAAGGACTTAATCAGGCAGAGAGGCTCGTTAAAGAGTTTTGTTCTTGTCCTAGGAGTGATCACGGAGGGATTCAGAGAGGGGCCATATCCTCAGGCTTGGGTTCCAGTGCCTCCCTGAGAGAGCCGGGGATCCGATGCATCTGAGATGCTCTGTGCCGCTGCACTGTAAGGCCTGAATTTCCTCCGAGGTGCCTCACTGCAGGACCAGGCTTGCAAAAGATCCCTCTCACTCATCTTTACGGGAATTTCAAAACGGAAGCCAAATAGCACCAGGGCTTAAAGCATTCTTGGGAATTTTCCCTTCTTCTCCTGGTTTTCCCTCTAAATAATTAGCACATAATTTGCTTTAAAAAAAAAAAAGCAGACACGGACCCAAAAGGGAGCCGTCAGTTTTGGGCTCTTTGCTTTCCCTCCTCCCAAGGCTCTCTGGCCCTTACCCAGCCTGAAGACAGACAGAAAGTGTGAGGCGGGTGGGGTCGGTCAGGCAGGGCTTGCTGAGCCTGGGAAGAAAACAACAGCATTGTTTGGGGCTCTATGGCTTATGTAACTCAATTGTGCCCAGTTTCAACCTGGCCAGGGGCCTGGAGTGAGGCTGAAGATGCAAAAGTAGAGGCTGCCAGAAAAGCCAGGAAACTGCTGGCAAGAAGCGCCAGTGGTGGGGTGCAGGAGTGGCAGCAAGGTCTGGAAGTGCGGCTGAGTCACATTCCCAGAAGCCCCCCATCATCACCCTGGTGGCTCTTCTGTTGGCAGGTGCCTCATGAAGACCTGACCCAAAGTTTCAAAACTCTGCGGTTTCTCAATCCTCTAGTAAACCATAGTACTCCTCCCCCCGCTACCACCCCGCCTCCACTTGTCAGCCTCGTGATTCCTTCATTGACACATAGCTGAGTTCCCATAAAAGGGCTGGTTTGGGGCCGTGCGGGAGTGGAGTGGAACAGGTATAAAAAGGAAGTACAGGGCCTGGGGAAGAGGCCCTGTCTAGGTAGCTGGCACCAGAAGCCGTGGGCAAGGCAAGAGGCCACACACTGCCCCGCTCTGCTGCAGCCAGAATGGGTGTGAAGGCGGCTCAAACAGGTATCTGGGCTGGCTGAGGTCAATCCATCAGAGTTGTGGGTTTTCAGGCCCAGAGAGCCCGCAGACCCATCTACCTGCTGGGTGGGTGACTAAGGGAGTTGGGAGATGGGGAGGGGAAGCAGAACCAGGGGAGGGACTAAGGCTGCAACCAGGAGGGGGTGGAGTGGGAGTTGGGGGGGCGTGGGTCTCAGTTGCTTTGGGGAGGGAGCAGGGTGGAAGGGTAGGATGCATTTGCAGGTGTCTGACCCTGGGTTTCTCTTCAGGCTTCGTGGTCCTGCTGCTGCTCCAGTGCTGTAAGTAATTCCGCCACCCCCACTTGAAGTCCAGAGGCGTGGCGAGGGCACAGGCCTCCATGTGGAGGAGGTCTTAGCTACGGGAAACACTTTTCCAGTTTCTTCTGTGCTTCCCATGGCTTGGAAATATTCACATTTGTTAAACTGGAGTGAGGAGTATATGGATGTTTATTATACTATACCCTTCGGTATGTGTGAAAATTCTCAAAATGAGAAACTTTAAAAGGTCCTGGTTCAGTGAAGGCTTTGACTAACACCCCGTGGGAGCCGCTAGTACAGTAGAGCCCAGTAGCTGCTTGGATGAGTAACGCCCACATTGTTTGCAGCAGGAGAAATTAGAATTAGAGGAGAGGAAGAACTTCCTTGTCCGTTGTGATATTGTGCCGCAGTGTGGGGACACGCTGAGGGAGCGCAGGGCTGCCATTCTGGGTGGGTTACAAGTTAGAGGCACTCCCACCTGGAGGCAGAGAAAGGTGGCCCAGAGTCCCTCATGGATGAAGGACCTCACTGCAGGTCCCTAAAGGTTCCAGCCTGAAAGCCAGGGCCAACTGTGACACCAGCTGTCTTGGGCCTTCCCCTCCCACAAAGCCACTGCCTCCAGGAAGCCTGCAGTGCTGGCACCAAGTCCATGTCACCCTTATTCACCAGCTCCCGCCCTTCTGCCACACAATGCCGTGGTTTTGGTCCGTAGTGTGTTCATCGCCTGCATTTGATCTTTTCTAAGCATTTTCAGAATAGGCCTTATTTTCACCAGACAGGGAACTCCCCAGAGGCAGGGGGACCTGAACCAGCTCCTTCCATTTAAGAATTCTGACTTTGGGCCAGATGCAGTGGCTCACTCCTATAATCCCAGCACTTTGGGAGGCTGAGGCAGGTGGATCACGAGGTCAGGAGTCCGAGACCAGCCTGGCCGGCATGGTGAAGCCCCATATGTACTAAAAATACAAAAATTAGCCGGGCGTAGTAGCAGGCACCTGCAATCCCAGCTACTCGGGAGGCTGAGGCAGGAGAATTACTTGAACCTAGGAGGGGGAGGTTGCAGTGAGCTGAGATCACGCCACTGCACTCCAGCTTGGGCGACAAGAGCAAGACTCCATCTCAAAAACAAAAAGAATTCTGACTTTGCTCATAATCTACACCCCACTCCTCCCCACTCACCCCCGCACCCCATTGGTACTCAGCTCTGGGCTCAGCCTGAGGTCTCTGGCCGAATCCCAGCCCGGGTCCCACCCCAGACTTCTCCTTCAGGCTCTGCATACAAACTGGTCTGCTACTACACCAGCTGGTCCCAGTACCGGGAAGGCGATGGGAGCTGCTTCCCAGATGCCATTGACCGCTCCCTCTGTACCCACATCATCTACAGCTTTGCCAATATAAGCAACGATCACATCGACACCTGGGAGTGGAATGATGTGACACTCTACGACACGCTCAACACACTCAAGAACAGGTCGGCCAGGGCTGCCAGGAGATGAGGGACCAGCTGGGCTTGTCCCAGGGCAGGGCAACTCCACCCAGGAGGATGGGAGAGGGCCTACGGTACTCACCTATGGTTGGAGAATGAGAGGGGTTTGGCTTAAATGGGCAGAGGTGATGACAGTAGGTGCTGGGCAGTATTCGGGGTGACGATAGACTGTAGATGGAAGCACAACTGAGCCCTTCTGGGAAAGGGGAACCCTCTCCTCCCTCTAAGGTGCCCTCCAGAGAGCAGGAAAATGTCCATGACTCTGCTCTGCCATACCTTGTCTTCTCCACTGGGGAAAACAAAATGGACAGCAGACCTCAGAGTAACTCCCATGAAGCCTGTGACCCCTCAGAGATCCACCTCTATGAATCTCTATGGGATTCCCATGTTATCCTATGGGAGGATATCCACAGCCTAACCCAGCTTCACCCAAAGCGGGAAACCTACTATGGCCTCCCAGACATGGGGCCACCCAGTGTCCTGACAACCTCATTCCATGCCTGCCCTCCCCACCTCCCTGTGCCCCACAGGAACCCCAACCTGAAGACCCTCCTGTCAGTTGGAGGATGGAACTTTGGCTCTCAAAGGTAGGACCCTGTCCCCAGGGGCAGGACTGCAGAGGAAGATGGCAGAGGCATGAGGAGCTTGGATCTCCCCCACCCACTGTCCAAGGGCTCCAGACTGGTTAGGTACAAGGCCTAACTGGTCGTTAGGGGCCTGCCTCATGTGTAGCAAAAAAAGCAGAACCCAGAGAGAGAGAGGGACTTGCCAAGAGTCACACAGCAAGTTCACAGTGGATCCCCTGATTCCCTGCCAATGCTGTATTTACTACCTCACAGGCTCTAAAATATGGGACTTCTGGGGCTACTGCCCTTAGGGTTGGAAAGAGAGAGATGGAAACCACTGGGGAAACTGAGGAGTGGGGGGAGCCTGGGAGGAGTCTTTGGGTTAGGTGGGGTTGTAGCAGGGCTTGAAATGGGGGTAGGTATGGCCATCATTGGCACCCACATGCTGGATGCTCTCTCTGTGTCCTGCACCCTGTCTCCCCATGATTCCATGTCTCCTTACAACAGCACGGTGAGCTGTTATAATTGTCCCCATTTTAAAGATGATGAAACTGAGTTTCAGGTATAACCTTTCACAGTGGCTGGCTAGTAAGTGATAGAGCGGGCTCAGAAACCAGGAATGTCTGGCCCTAAAGCCCACACAGGCCTGGAGGTGGCCCCTGTTCCAATCAAGCTGTGTGGCGCAGGCTCCCAGCTCTGCAGGCCCTGGAAACCCCACCAGAGGGCCAAAGCAGCTAGCATATCTGTGCCGAGCACACTGCGGGGGTGATTTTGATCCTAGATTTTCCAAGATCGCCTCCAACACCCAGAGTCGCCGGACTTTCATCAAGTCGGTGCCGCCATTTCTACGCACCCATGGCTTTGATGGGCTGGACCTCGCCTGGCTCTACCCTGGACGGAGAGACAAGCAGCATTTTACTACCCTAATCAAGGTGCTGGGCAGGTCAGGGACAGGGAGGGATGTGGGCAGGCATGAAGGAATGGAGTGGGCTATTTCCTCCCATGGAGAGGAGGGACCAGCTGGGTCCACCCTACTCACCTATGGTTGGAGAATTAGAGGAGCTTCGCTGCTCTAATTGAAGCTGACTTCAGCTGGGTACTCCTGAGGATTGGTAAAGAGGGACTTCAGTGGCCTTGGTGCAGTGTCCTGGGACCCTGTGCTCTGAATATTTCCCACAGCAAGGAAGGCTTCTTGTGACCATGGTGGACAGTGGATGTGGGATTCTAGGAGGTGGAAGGTTATGACTAAGCATGGCAGCCACTCATCACTACCCACTTAGTGGAACAGCCATTGTCCACCCTTCCATCCACACTAATACCACCCATACCCAGCATGCGCTGTGTCCAGAGGTACTCAGCTCCGTCTGGGGGCAGCCCAGGCATCTCCAGTTACCGGGGGCAGAAGCAGAGTCTAAACAAATTATTTGCAATACCACTAGAAATCACTTTCACTTTGGGCTTTCAAGTACCAGCTAGAACAAAGCATAAACTGAAAGGCAAATTCTCCCAAAGTCATCTGCGGGCCAGCAGGGATCCCCCACTGTCCCATGCTCCCTCCAGGACAGCGAGTCATTGAGTGCTGATGGGTGTGCATGGGTTTGGGGACAAGATTAGTCAGTTTCTTAAGAAAAGGATGGGTGACCTGAGGATGGGACCACTGATGAGCCACTTTATCACTTCCAGCAGGCCCCAGGCAGGTTGGGGATCACAGCAAACGGGGTGCACAGAGACCTAGGCCCCCCTCTTATGCCACCTGGGACCCTTTCTCTCACCTCCCTGTCTCCCATCCAGGAAATGAAGGCCGAATTTGCAAAGGAAGCGCAGCAAGGGAAAGAGCAGCTCCTGCTCAGCGCAGCAGTGTCTGCGGGGAAGGTCACCATTGACAGCAGCTATGACATTGCCCGGATATCCCAGTGAGTCTCCTGCCCCAGGCAGCTCCCCAGAACCTCTGCCAGCACTCCTGCCTCTCCGCTACCCCAGCCCTAGCACTCCATGTAGATGCAGGACACTGGGCTTCCAGTCCCAGTTCTTCCAAAGCCTTGATGTGTGACCTTGAGCAAGTCACTTCCCTGGCCCTTGCCTCAGTTTCCCCATCTGTCAAATGGGGCATTACAATCCTTGCCCTTCCTTTTTCACTTGGGCTGTTGTTGAGCAGTTTAGAGAGTTGCTATTATAGTTTTTTGGTTTTTTTTTTTTGACACAGTTTCGTTCTTGTTGTCCAGGCTGGAGTGCAACGGCGCGATCTTGGCTCACTGCAACCTCCACCTCCACGGTTCAAGTGATTTTCTGGCCTCCGCTTTCCAAGTAGCTAAGATTACAGGCATGTGCCACCAAGCCTGGCTAATTTTGTATTTTTAGTAGAGACGAGGTTTCTCCATGTTGATCAGGCTGGTCTTAAACTCCCAACCTCAGGTGATCCACCTGCCTCAGCCTCCCAAAGTGCTGAGATTATAGGCCTGAGCCGCTGCATCTGGCCACTATGAAACTATTTTGGAAAAGGAAGTAGAAAAACTTATACAAACCCTCCACCATTGCGAGGTATTTTCTCCATGCCAGGCTGAGCAGAGTGCTGGGCCCTGGAGAGGCCACACAGCGGCACAACTCCCTGTCATTTCTAGAGTGCTGGGGAGTCCTCAAGGCTCTCACACACACAGGCACCCCCCTTTCCTGCTGGCCCCACGCCTCTTCCTCACCCCGCCTCCATGCCTGTGAGAAACAAGGAACAGCCAAGCACCCTCATCTCTCCCAAGAGCAGAGCCCCGGGTCTTGGGAAACCCAGGAGTAAGGAACAGAGACTCTTCAAAATGACTTTAGAGCTTTCTTTAGGATCCCAGGGAGGTCTAAACTCAGTGCTTAATTAAATGGATTCTTTAGAGGGTGGGCAACAGGTGGCTGTCAATCATTTGCCCCATACATCTGAAGCTTGTATTCAAGCAGTCTACCCCCAGTGGGCTCACCAGTGGAGTGTGCAAAACCTCCTCCCACCCCAGTGCATCTTAGGTTCAGGTCATCCTTTGGCCCCACTCTTTCCCCACCAGGCTGTCTGCTTTCACTAAAATAAGCATGGCAGGAGTGGTGGGGGTAAGGTGGGATGGAGGCAGCTCCCAAACGTATGCTGGGCATAACAGAAAACCCCATTCTTGACTGAAGTGCCCTTGTGGGACCCTGAGCCCACACCCTGGAGTGGCACAGAGCTGTGCCAACAATGGGGATCGTGATCACGGGGACTGCTGGAGTTCAGGCTAGTGGCCCGTTTGCTTCCCTTGTTCACATACTGCTGGAGCCTTACTTGCGAACCCAAAAGCTTTTCTATTAATAATTTCCTGCCTCACCCTCTACCCACTTCCTCCTCAGACACCTGGATTTCATCAGCATCATGACCTATGACTTTCACGGAGCCTGGCGTGGGACCACAGGCCATCACAGTCCCCTGTTCCGAGGCCAGGAGGATGCAAGTCCTGACAGATTCAGCAACGCTGTGAGTTCCCAGAAGGAGGGAGGGCCAGGAGGGACCGCAAGGCCTGCCGCCTGCCAGTGCTCACACCCCAACCCCTCTGCTCCTCAGTATAATCCTGCAAGAGGGGGCTATGATGCCCATTCCATAGATAAGGAAACTGAGGCCCAAAGTCTGGGCCTGCTCCGTGGCTCTGGGAAGGTGGCCTGGAGGGTGAATTGAGTGAAGGCAGGGGGCAGAATGGAGAGAGGCTGGGAGCTGAGGAGGCAGGAGTCACTGTGCCACCAGAGCCAATCACCTGATTTCTGCATCTGTCAAATAGTAATAATCCCTTCCTATGCCTAAAAGGAATTTTTCTGAGAATGAAACTATAAAATTCACGTTAAAGTGACATGACCAGTTCCCAGAGGGACAGAGGAATCCCCAGTGCACCATGTGCCTCTAACCCCTGTAAAGGCAGCAGTATTAATTGCTCAACCTTCTGCACCTGCGCTCTAACTGCTCTCATTGTTCCCACCCTGCCCGGCCCAGGACTATGCTGTGGGGTATATGCTGAGGCTGGGGGCTCCTGCCAGTAAGCTGCTGATGGGCATCCCCACCTTCGGGAAGAGCTTCACTCTGGCCTCTTCTGAAACTGGTGTTGGAGCCCCAGTCTCAGGACCAGGAATTCCAGGCCGGTTCACCAAGGAGGCGGGGACCCTTGCCTACTATGAGGTAATGGAGTCGGGGTAGAGGATAAGATTCCCCCACACCACCAGCAGCCCTGGGGAAGGTGATTCCTGCTGCGTTCTTGCCCTTTCTCCTTGGGAATAAAGAAAATGTCCATTTGCCCCAGTATGCTTGAGGAAGTAGAAGGGAGAGATTAGGACATTTGCTGCTGAAAGTATCCAGTAGGTACAGGCACCACCCCAGGGATATCCTTATGGCGATGGAGCTAAGGTCTTCCTTCCAGTCCAGGAAAGAGCAGGGGTCAAGAGGCAGACTGTTTGTATCAGTCTAGCCTCTGTTGCTCTGTGTGGCCTTGGGCCTGTCCTCAGTGTCAACCATCAGGCCTCACAGCTCTATTTAAATGGAAGAAGCTAAGCAGGGCCAAGGGAGCCACAATCTCTGGGACATCTGCTTCTGTTTTATGTAAACTTGTGTGTCGCATGCAGCCTGTAGACCCTGTAGGCCCTGGAGGGAGTGAGGCCTCAGGATGGAGCAGGAGCTAAAAGAGATTTGGAGAATGACATCTCCTGGTGACTGCAAGGTCTCCACCTGACTCCCCACACCACCTTTCCCCTGTTATCTGCTCAGATCTGTGACTTCCTCCACGGAGCCACAGTCCATAGAATCCTCGGCCAGCAGGTCCCCTATGCCACCAAGGGCAACCAGTGGGTAGGATATGATGACCAGGAAAGCGTCAAAAGCAAGGTAGGCTTCCCCAAGGCCACACCTCAAGTCAAAGAGGAAGAGGGAGGCCCTACTCCCAGCAGCCACATCCCTGTCCCTTTCGTGGAGGGCTGGTCTGGGTTCACAGAGCACATGTGCCCCTACACACTGTGGCCCAGGGAACCCAGCCCTGCTCCTCTGGGCCTCCCCTGCCAGGTGCAGTACCTGAAGGACAGGCAGCTGGCAGGTGCCATGGTATGGGCCCTGGACCTGGATGATTTCCAGGGCTCCTTCTGCGGCCGGGATCTGCGCTTCCCTCTCATCAATGCCGTCAAGGACGCACTCGCTGCAACTTAACCCTCTGTTCTTCTGCACACAGCAGGGGGGCCAAGGATGCCCTATCCCCTGCTGGCTCCTGCTGGCCAGGAGCCTGATCACCTGCCCTGCTGAGTCCCAGGCTGAGCCTCAGTCTCCCTCCCTTGGAGCCTGTGCAGAGGGCCACAACACTCAGCCCTGGTGGGGAGGGAGGTAGAGATGGGTCTGTGGGGATAGTGAGGCATCGCAGTGTAAGACTTGGGATTAGCATGAACTTGCTGATTAATGGAAATACTTGCAGACTCCAAGGCTGGCAAGAGAATGTCTTCAGCTCCCTGCCCCCGAGCCCTCCTTATCAAAGGACACGATTTTGGCAAGCTCTATCACCAAGTAGCCAAACATCCTACAAGACACAGTGACCATACTAATTATACCCTCTGCAAAGCCCAGCTTGAAACCTTCACTTAGGAATGGAATCGTGTCCCCTGTCCTACTTCCCCTTCCTAATTCTGCAGCTGCTCAATAAAAGTACAAGAGCTTAACAGCGTGTTGGTGCTGGCTTTGGTCTATCTTTGTGGACCCACTAGGCCCACTAGACTCACCTCCCCCATCTCTTCTGGATTCCTTCTCTGAGGCTTGGGACCCCCAAACTTGCAGAGATGAGGCCACCATGTCCTCGGTCTAGCCGCACAGAGTCCCAGTGGGAGGCCAGTGTCCTCAGATTCACCCGCTTTGGACTTAATCCAAGCATGGCTGATTGCCTTCCAAATATTAAAGTCATTGCCATCCAGACTTCTAAATTAAATTCCTTGTTGAAAGAAACTTTCTTCTGTTTCCTGAAGGCTAACAAGCACTGAGAAAGAAGCCCTTACACCCCAAAATTCCATCTCTTCTGACCCACGAGAAGGTGGTGAGAGCTCATCACAGGATCAGGTTAGAGAGCCCTGAACCCTGGACCCTCAGGGCCAGCAGGAAGTGCAGATGTCATCTCATGCATCCTTCCTGCCTCCCGGGGCTGGAGTCCTTGCAGAGTGCTTCAGAGATGGCCCTCCAGCCTCCCCCAGCTCCCAGTGAGGGGCAGCTCATTACCTTGGAAGCAGCCCACTCCGTGGCTGGCCTGAAGTCTGTCAAGGATCCTAGTGCTGGGCTTAGCCCTTTGTTCTGCTCACCCCTCCCTTACCACTCATCCCTCAACCCATTCAGAGATCAAAGCACCTCTGCTCAAGCTGGCCTGAGACAGGAGGTTGGGAGGATATGATGGGGTGGCTCAGAAGAACAGACAGATTTCCAGCCTTTATGAGGTAGTGATGCTCTCATCAGGCTTCTGTTGAATTCCCAGGGCCCCAGGAATGCCTTTATCCAAAGACAGTCCAGATACACACACCAAAACTAAAGAGAATTGATTTCTGGGTTCTCTGATGTTTGGATTATCTGTGGCTTGGGATAATCACAGGTTGGCCTGACAGTTTGACTCTGGTTTGAGATGGAGGGAAGGAGGAAATATCTGAAATCTGAACCAGCTGGAGCTGAGCAGATGCTACTGATCCCAAGGTCACAGCCCTGCTAAAGGCAGAGAAAGCAAGGGCTCAGCAAGGCGTGGGGCTGGGGGTGGGAGGGGTGTACCTGGCATTTCACCTCTGGCTGGTGGGGCCAAGCATTCCCTAATCCCTGCCACTGCCCACCCCCCAACACAATGATCTTTGAAACCCCAGGGCTGCAAGCCCTTGTGGGCAGCCAACCCCCTCTGCTAGGGCCACCCTTCCCCCATCTTGGGACAGGCTCTCTAGGGCTGACTCAGGGTCCTGCTGGGTTAGTCACATTCGCTTATAGCTGCAGAGTCAGAGGCCAAGGATGGAGATCGGGTCTCCAGGACCTGCTCCCTGCCTGGCAAGGCATTGAGTCACCTAGCAAAGGGCAAGGACATCCAGGCAGGGCCAGATCCAGAGGCTCCCAGGCTCTGCACTGCCACTCACCAACAGAGACAGCAGGTTTGAGAGGCAACCACACCCTGGTGTCCCCTGTCCCCAGGAAAGTGGAGAGCATGCACGCTGCTGAGGGCCCTGAATAAGTCACGTTTGCCTATTTTTAAATTGTGAGTATATCTTACATGCTGAAGAGTGCACAAATGTATTTGTTTGATTTGAAGAATGACTGCATAGTAAGAACCTGTGCAAACCACCACCCGGGTCGGGAAAGGAAACCCATTAGCAGCCCTGCAGCTGCCGCGATCACATATACCCGTCTTCCTCCGGCTAGAGGCAGCTGCCATCCCACCTTCTGTACTGATGTTGGCCTCACTTCCTTTCTGGCCTGACCACCTACAGGTGCACCTTGAAGCAGAGAGCCTGGTGTTGACTGCATTTGGATTTAATGTAGATGAGACAAATGAGACGCGACATTTCTGTGAGTCTTGCTCCTCTGCTCATCATTGGGTCTGTGAGTAGCTGAAGCTGCTCATTTGACCTCAGGTTTTGCTTTATAGTTGCATAAACACGCCACGGTTATCCATCCCACTGTTGTGGGACAGCTGTTTTCTCCCACATTTCAACAATTACAAATAATACTACCATGAACCTTCTTCTCTGTGTCTCCAGGGGCACATGTGGGTGTTACATGAGTGGCACGGCTGGGTCACAGAGTGGGCACCTCATCCATTTTACTAGGCACTAGTAAAGCTTCCACATTTTCCAGAGTGACTGCTCCAATACCAGCCGTAACAGTTCTTAATGCTCTCACTCCTTCCTGACACATGGTATTTTCTGGCTTCCCAGTGATTCCCAGTCTTAACATTTTATTGAATAAATGAATCAATGACTAGAAATTTGCCCCTATCTGCCTCCTTTTGCACACTGAGAAAGCTCATGCCCACAGCCTTTTTGGAAGAGTCTAGATGCTCCAGAATGCTCTCCTCCACTAGGGCATCTTCACAATTTGCCATGAGGGCACCACACCCTGAAGGGCAAGGGGTTCTCTGTAATAGGTAGGAAACTGAGGCCCACAGCAGGTGCAGGGGAGACCAGCTTCTTATCAGCTGCCCAAAAGAGACAGGAGCCAGGGTGCTTAGACCCCCATCCTGGGGTTCCAGTGCTGGAGGACCATCCTCTGAGCAGCCCCACCCTCAGCATCTCAATTCCCTCCCCCTCTAGGACCCTCAGCCTCATACAAAACAGGCAAGAGTCCCTGGGAACTGTGGGAGCCAGGGGAGTGTGGACCCCAGAGGCAAAGCTGGGAGCACTCACAAGGAAAACTGTCCCAAACCGTCAGGGCTCCAGTACCCGGTCTGAGATGCTCCAGGCACAAGTGACCCCATAGAAGCCAGACACACAGAGCCCGAGCTAGGCTTATTCCCCAGCTAGAAGCTCTTCCTCCCATTGCCCTGACACCTGGCACAGGGCCCCTTCGATGTCCCATCTTGCCCATCTGCACCCTCCCCCAGCTGGGCACCAGCACCCTGGCTGTTGAGGCAGTCAGGGTGATGGATGAGGGAGTGACTCCTCAAGGGGCCCTTGTGGTTCCTCCCCCAGAGCTATTCCTGGCCTGGGCGCCTCTCCACCCTCCAGTCCTCCTGCTTGACCTGACCCCACAGCTGGGAATCGTTGGTTGGGGGTGGGGCAGCCCCTGACTATATAAGCCTGGACCTAGGTGTCCCAGGCACCCTAGAGGCCCAGGTCCCCCCACTGCTGACCCCTGCACCCTCCAGCCTGACCCCCCAACCAGTCCAGCAATGACGGAAAAAAACACCTCTGAGGACCCTGCCTGCAGTCCAGAGGAGACCACATCTGAATCTGCCAAGGTGCCCACTGCAGAGCCTCCCGGAGAAGTGGCAGCATCAGAGTCAACTGGGGAAGAGCAGGTGCCCAAGCCACAGGCCCCTGCCCCTCAAACCCCTGCAGCCCCCGCAGCCACTAAGCCTGTGCCCCCAAGTGAAGGTGACTGGAGGTGGTGGGGTAGGGGGAGGAGGGAGGCAGGCATTTCGAGGGTGGAGGGGAGCTCTTGGCCATGAACCTCTTCATCTCACCAGACGTCCCCAGTGCCCCACTGCTGCTGACCCTGGAGGATGTGAGCAGCAGTTCCGTGACTGTGAGCTGGGAGCCCCCAGAGAGGCTAGGGAGGCTGGGCCTCCAGGGCTATGTGTTGGAGCTCTTCAGAGAGGGAGGTGAGTGCTGGGCTAAGTCCTACAGACACCCAGGGAGGTTTTCATGGAGGGCTGCAGGGATAAGTGCTCAAGCCCTGTGGTTGGTCAGTCTGGGAGAGATACAGAAGGAGGGGATGTAAACAGTGGGCTCCTCAACTCCCCACCTATCCTTTCTTGCAAGGTGCATTAGCCTCAGTCCTCCCCTCGCTCCCCTCCCAGAGCTGATCGGGTTTCAGTCTGTTAATGGCAGTGAGTCATTTGAGCAAGGAAGGGTAGGTGGGGGGGGGCGTTGAGGGGCTCCCTTGCCCTCAGCTCCAAGGAGCCTCTGAATAAGAGAAGGGTAAGGGGACACTGGGTGCTCCTCTGGCAAGAAGGGAAGGAGATGCTAAGTCTCGGAGGACCCCACAGTGTAGGAAGTGGAGAGGGAGGAGCTGGAGGGGGGGATGTTAGTGTAAGAGACAGTGAGGAGAAAGAGGGAATGGGGTGGGGGGTGCTGGCCACATACCTGCTCCCACTGTCTCCTCCATGACTCCAGTCTAGCCTGGCCTCTGCCTCTGCCCCTACCTTGCTGAGAGACTTTGCAAGTGTGTCCAACCCTCTCTGGGCTACAGCAGCCTCATCTCTGGCCACAGTTTCAGGGCTCCAACATCAGGTGTCTTTAGGATGCCATTTGACAAGAAGTCAGGGAAGGCAAACAAGGGGAAAATAAGGCCCAGAGATGGAGACCGAGTTCCCCAGATCACCAGCAGGAAGAGAAGCCCCACAGAGAGGGGGCCTGAGGCCACACTGCCAAGACCTCACACTCTCTCCATCCCTCAGCCTCGGAGTGGGTGCCTGTGAATGCCCGACCCATGATGGTGACCCAGCAGACCATGCGGAACCTGGCTCTGGGAGACAAGTTCCTTCTGCGCGTGTCTGCAGTGAGTTCCGCAGGGGCTGGCCTACCAGCTGTGCTGGACCAGCCCATCCACATCCGAGAGAACATCGGTAAAGCCCGTCCTGGCCTTCTGCTCCCCAGCCCTTCCCAGACACCTTATCTAATGGAGAAACTCAGGTCAGCAGGCAGAGGGAACCAGGCAGTCATCTCCCACGTCCCACGCTCACATGCACACGCCACACCCTATCACCATCTTGCCTTAAGAAAGCTCCAGGTTCCTCAGCAGCAAGGAGCCTCTGGAGGTCTAAGAAGCCATTTCCCTGAGTGGTCCAGCTCCAACGCCTTAAGGAAGGGGCCTACTGATGCTCAGAAACAAAACATCAAGTTCCCTGGGTCACCTACTCAATGCTAAGAGTCCATCTGAGCTTTCTCCCATCTACTCTTAAACCCTCCGGTCATTTTCTGCCCATTTCCTGTGGGCTGGGTTCCAGATTCTCTCAAAGGTTTTGGAACAGGGAGAAGGCCCTGCTTGCCCCTTCTTCCACCAAGGCCCTAGTGGGAAGAAAAAGAGGGTCCGTTAAAGGTCCATGAAGACTTCTCCATTGCAGAGGGCACACCTCACTGGGGCCTGGCGGGCCAGCTGCCGTTCCCATTGCTAATATTTCTATTTGCAAGGTATGTTAGCATCAATCTTCCCCAAGCTCCCCTCCCAGAGCTGATCAGGTTTCAGTCTGTTAATGGCAGTGAGTCATTTGGTCTAATCTGAGGTCTTTGGAGACACCACAGTCCCCCAGGGTGAGGAGAGACACAGGCAGGCAGGTGGCCTGAAGCCTTCTCCACCGTCCCTCTTGTTCCTCCACCAGGGGATGGACAGTTCCTGGAGGAGGCTGCACAGAACACTGTAGCTCTAGACGAGGCCTCCAGAAGGAGAGGGGATCCACAGGAGGGGTCAAGTCTGGATTCAAAAGGAAATGCTCAGCTCTGAGGCCTGAGAGACGTCAGAACTGTGGAGTTAGGGAGCTTAGATTCATAGACTATTGCGGCCAAGCAGATCCCAAGGAGCCCAGGGCCTCCCTTGAGGTCACCCAGCCTTTTTTGGCAGTTCCTACACAGGACCACTCATGCCCCACTGCACTGCAAGGCATCTTCTCTGATGGCACCCAAAACTCAAGGACATTCCCAGCCTTTGGCTCTGGGTGACATGTGGCCCTACCTGGCAGCTGCAGTATGGCCATGTCTACTCTAGTCTTAGAGGTCCCAGGAAGCCCTCTTGGTTGGGAGGGTGCTGGGCCTTCCCCAGGGAACCAGGGAGCTCAGACTCTGAGAAGCCCCTGAGGCCCAGCATTAACAGAGACAGCCAGACTCAGCACCCACTTCTCCACTCAAATTCCTCTGGCAGGAGAGAAGGGGATTTCCTGAAGAGAAGAGGGAGAGGAGGCTGTGAGCAAGTGGGGAGCAGCCAGGCTCTTCCTGGGCAGAGCAGGGTGGGGGCCGTGTCCAGGATCCTTGGCTGCTCAGCTGTCCCTCCTCAGCCACCTGGAGCTGCCAAGCATTCCTGCCCCCCCTGCAGCTGTCCCTAGAGCATTCCATGCCTGAGCTCCCAGAGCCAAGTGCCTGCTCAGCTAATCCTCGGAGACACCGTGTTCCTTCTCACTGTCTCATCCTCCTCCGCCCGGCATGCCACCAACCAACTGCTGCCACCTGTTTGCTGCGGAGGAGCTTCAGTCATGGCCCCAGGACCCACCCCGGGGGACAGGGGTGGCGGCCATTGCAGCTTCCCTTAGAAGCCCAGGGGCTTCCTTGGTTGCCCGTGACCAGATGAGGGTCAGAAGGTCGTTCCTTAGCATAGCAGGACTTCAGGAAGAACTTCCCAGCTCTGAGACTAACAACTATGGGAGGGTGACAGAGGAAGAAGGGGGTATACCTGTCCTGGCTTCATTTAGGATGATCCCAAAGCCTCTCAATAGGGCCTGGAGAAAGATCCCAAGTCTCTCAATAGGGCCTGGAGACAGAGGAATGGGCAAACAGGGGCTCAAAAGGGCTTCTCTGAAAGTTCTGGGCTTGTGGAGGGTGAGGGTATTAGAACAGGGAGGCAGCAGTTGCCTCCCCTTCCTAGAAGTGCAGCCTGACAGGTGCAGCACCAGCTCCCCAGCAGGGGGAGACAGAGAATCAGCTGGGGCCCATCTGGTGCTTGGGAATGCCTGGGCTGCAGGGCAAATCCCGTCCTGGCAGAGTCGAGGTGCCAAGGGAGTGCCCGGGATGCTTACCAGTTCACACCTTGGAGGAGCTGACCTCCTGAAACCTCCTGCTCCCTTACGGGATTTGGGTCCTAGACCTCAGGAGTGAGAGCTTCTTCACCCTTCCCACAAGGAGGGAGCCCATGGCAGCCAGACCACACCCAGGACCCTCCTCCCTGCCACCATCCCTCACCGGCTGTCCCCTGCCCCACCATAGAAACCTCAACCAGCCACCCCACTGCACTGCTAAGCCCAGACTCTTGCTTTGATCCAGAGGCCCCCAAGATCCGTGTCCCTCGACACCTCCGTCAGACCTACATCCGCCAGGTGGGAGAGGCAGTCAACCTGCAAATCCCCTTCCAGGTGAGTATTCCCCCAACCAACAATAAGAGCCTGAGTGGGAATCAGGACCCCCATCTAAGGGGAATCTGGGAAATAGCAGGATCTCCACGGGTCCAGCTGGGACGCAGCAGCAAGAGGGGCTCATCCTCCTGCAATCATGCACATGACTCAGTGGTGATTCTCAGCCTGGGGATGGGCTGGTGGGTCCCCAGGGTGGGCTGGACAGCTGGAGGATGTGGCTCTGGGCAGCACCTGTGGCTCCAGCCTCTGCCACCCTTCCTGAGAAGGGCCAATGGGGCAGGCTCCCCAGGGCACAGCTCCAGAGACTACTGGAGTTAAGGGGGTGTGGGGACACTGGCACCTCCCTACACTCACCCTAGGGTCTCCTCCCTGCCAGGGAAAGCCTAAGCCTCAGGCCACATGGACCCACAATGGCCATGCCCTGGACAGCCAGCGGGTGAGCGTGCGTACCGGGGACCAGGATTCCATCCTCTTCATTCGCTCGGCCCAGCGCTCTGACTCTGGCCACTATGAGCTCACTGTGCGCCTGGAAGACCTGGAGGCCAAGGCAACCATTGACATCCTGGTGATTGGTACGGGGCCAGGGGAATAGGGCTGCCTCATGGGAGAACCAGAGCCCCCGACCTCGCACTCCAGAGCTGATGGCTGATGGCAGCAGGCCTAGGGAGTGTGGCAGGAGACAAATCTTGGCTGTGGGGGCTCTGTGGCTGGCCTGGCCCTCACGCTCACTTCCCCTTGCACCCTGGGCCTGCAGAGAAACCTGGACCCCCCAGCAGCATCCGTCTCCTGGACGTCTGGGGCTGCAACGCTGCTCTTCAGTGGACACCACCCCAGGACACAGGCAACACGGAGCTCCTGGGCTACACAGTGCAGAAGGCAGACAAAAAGACAGGGGTGAGGCTGGCTGGGACAGAGTGGGGTCATTGTAGGAAGTGGTTAAGATGGTGGGGAAGGCCCATCCCACAGAGTCTAGGGACCGAGTTCTGGTCTGCCCACTGCTAACCTGACAACCTAGGAGTCCCTTAGCAAGACTATTCCTCTCTGGATCTCAGATGCCTCCTAAAGACTGCGAGGAGGGCTGGCCTGGGCCGTCTGCAGCCTTTCAAGCTCTGGAGCCCGCTTCCCAAATTTTAATGTGTACAAGGGGAGCTCCAGGGGAGCTTGCTAAGAGGCAGAGTGTGACTCAGTAGGTCCAGGGTGGGGGCTGAGAGCCTGCATTTCGAAGAAGTTTCCAGGTGATGCTGAAATCGCACATCTGTGGGCCATACTTTGCCATGAAGGCTCTAGGAGTCTCTGAGGATCCTACAGAGGTCACCTGAGTGACCCAGGGGCCTCTTCTCCCAGTTCAATGTCCCTGAGGCCCAAAGCTGGATGGTTCAGCATCCCAGGGTTGGGGGCATAGAATGAGTTCCCATTGAAGAGAGGGCTTTAGGGTAAGCAGGGAAGGCGAGAACAGGGGTGAGAAATGAGGGTGACGCCCAGGGACCCGCAGCAATGGTTCACAGTGCTGGAGCGCTACCACCCGACCACCTGCACCGTCTCCGACCTCATCATCGGCAACTCGTACTCCTTCCGGGTCTTCTCAGAAAACCTGTGTGGGCTCAGCACCTCCGCCACCGTCACCAAGGAGCTCGCCCACATCCAGAAGGCAGGTGGGTTTGGGCCAGGTCTGGCTGTGCTGACTCTCTCCCTGTGCCTGCCTCTTCCTCAGCGTCTTCTCCACATCCCTCTCTCTGGGCTTCTCCTGGGCATCTGCCCCTGGAATACCCGCTGTCCCCTCACTCCACAGCTATTCATGCACACGCATGGAGTGGCTGCAACGTAGTGAATGTGGTTGATTGATCTTAACAAACACATCAGAACAAATCCACACAAATGAAAGCTGCTCCTTGGGAGGCCGTGTACTTATTGCAAAGATGCTTGGGGCTGCCAGCATCACAGCAGCTGTCGAGTCTCAGGCAGTGAGTGTCCCAAGGGAACCTAGAGGGTGCGTGTGCATGGAGTAGTGTGCTAAGACGGGTGAGTTTGCTAAAACAAGCCTTCCAACCCCCATACACACCACATAGATGGACAAGAGAGATAAGAGTATTTACCGTCTCCACACAGGCACTGACCCTCTTGCGTCAAATCCTAAACCCCAGGCCCTTTTCCCTGTCCCCTGTCTGCCCCGAGGCCCTCCCTGACCCACCGTCTGTGTGGGTTCCAGAAGGCAAACTTTATTTAACACCAGCCTGAGCTGCACAGAATTAGGAAGAAATGTTTGTTTAAAAAAGGAAAGCCGGTCAAGTCTCCAAAGACAAACACAAAGGAAACGCGTGTCTGAGTTGCGAGCCTCCACCTTCCGCCAAGACGGTCTCATCTCTAGTTTTTCCTCCTCCTCTCCTCTGCTTACCACCCTGACTCACCCAGCCTCAGTCTCAGCCTTCTCTGCCTCTTTGGGATTGTCCAAGTCGCTGTAAATAAGCCACGACTTGCTATAGATCTAGGATCAGTCAGTCCTAACAGGTCTCCTTCACTCCTGGAAGCTCAGACTCACCCGACTTTCTCCCCTGAACCCAGATATTGCTGCCAAACCAAAAGGGTTTATTGAACGAGACTTCTCAGAAGCCCCCTCATTCACCCAGCCCCTGGCTGACCACACCTCCACTCCTGGCTACAGCACCCAGCTGTTTTGCAGTGTCCGAGCTTCACCCAAGGTGAGGGGCCAGGCCTTGCTGTGCCCTGGGCTGGTGGGAGCAGGTGGGGACAGCAGGGCTGAGGAATCCTCCGGGCATCCGCACGCAAGCCTGAGGATGGCCTGCAAGAGCCCCGCCCCAGTCCACACCTCCCCAGCTCTCTTCTGACCATGCCACCCAGCCCAAGATCATCTGGATGAAAAACAAGATGGAGATCCAGGGCAACCCCAAATACCGTGCTCTCTCTGAGCAAGGCATCTGCACCCTGGAGATCCGGAAACCCAGCCCCTTTGATTCCGGGGTCTACACCTGCAAGGCCATCAATGTGCTGGGGGAGGCATCTGTGGACTGCCGGCTAGAGGTCAAAGGTAAGAGTTTGAGGATGGAAGAAAAGGAGTCAGTGCCTCTCTGGAGCTGGATTAGAGGCAGCAGAGAGCTTAAAATCAAGGCAGAAGAGAAGGGGTAGCAAGATCGAGGTCAGGCTGTGCCGATTACTTTCCAAGCAGGAGTGTGGGCAGGTGTAGGGGAGGGTGGGCCAGTGTAGGGGAGGGCGGGCCAGTGTAGGGGAGGGCGTGTAACCGTGAACCTTGTCAGTTCCCCGACACTTCCCCCAAGCTCTAACTGCAGCATCTCTTCTAGCCTCAGCCACGCACTGAAGAGCCACGGGAGGAGGCTGTGATGAGGAGCCAGGTAAATGGCCAGACCCACCCGCTCTGCTACCGCTGCAGGTAGCACGGAAGCAGAGAGGAGGCCGGGAACAGGGGCTGGGGATGAGAAGGGAAGGTGGTGGTCAGCTCTGGGGACAAACTTGTAGACACGGGCAACTAACACGCATCTCCAGAGACTCGCAGTGACGTTGCAGGGCCATGAGATGCCGGTGTGGCCCGGAAGGGGGCGACTCCGTGGGCCACCACATGATCAGAGTCTACTCCCAGCTCTGAGTGACCTTCCACAAGGGTGTTCTCTTTGGACACACTTCCTCATCAGAAAAGTGGGGATAACAACCTCTCCCTGCCTTCCCTCCGCTGGTGGTTGAGGATCTGCATAAGTGCAGAAATATCTAGAACTGCGGTGGGCAGAGCTCAGACCTGGGCCTGAGGAGGGAGGCCTGCTGAGGAAGAGGGTGCTGCTCCCCTCGCCTCTCTGCACCCCTCTGGCCTGCAGCCAAGCTCTGCTCACACCAGGGCCTCAGGAAGCATGTCCTCCCCCAGGTCCCCCAGGCCCACCATCAAACTCCAGAGGCACTCAAGACCCCCACTTCCATAGCGATGGCTGAAGGAACTGCCCCTGGTACCTGCTGGCCCCTCTCTCCCAGAGGCTGGTGTCCAAAACTCAGGAGTGGGCCTGGTAGGCCCCGGGCCAGGGTTCCTGGGCTCAAGGGGTCCTGGAGGGTGCAGAGATGGGAGTGCTCTGCAGAGCCGCACTGGGTGGGAAGCACTCGAATAAAGATGTGTGGTGTCACAATGCGGGGCCTCTGTGCCAGTGAGCAACATCATCTAGGGGGAGGCGCTGCATCACCAGGAGGGGGGTGTCTGAATCTGTCACCATGAGGGGGGTCTCCAGATATGTCACCATGAGGAAGATGCCAGCGGGAGGGAGAGGTCTCAGGATGTCATGGGTCTGTGTGTGGGTGGGTGGGGGGGTTCTGGACATGAGAATATCCGGATCTTGCTTCCTGATCAGGGTTTGCTACCCCAAGTGCGTAACTATGGAAACAGACACACCCTCTCTGGAACCCTCCTTGCTGGAACGCCTCCACATGCCCCCTGTCGCAGCTCCTCCCGGCCCCCGCCATTGCTTCCCCTCTGCTGAGGGTGTCTTGTTGCCCTCAACAGTGGTTGGGGTGGGTGCCCAGCAATGTGCGCTCCACAGGATTCACAGTTTTTTTATTAGTCACGTGGGCTACCCTTGGGAGCCGGGGCACACCCCATTTCTAACAGAGGGAAGGGCCTGGAAGCAAGACCTGGGGTTGACACTCATGTTCAGAACCCATCAACTCGACGGCCACCTCCCCTCCCCCACCTCGTCCCTCTACACAGGGACTCCAGGCTTGGCAGGACATGGGTTGGTCCTTCCCCCGATCCCTAAAGTCCTAGACCCCCCCCCCCAACCTGCAACAGAGCTTCCAAAGTCCCTGAAAATGCAGGTAAATACTAGGGGTATTGACGGATTCGCATGACAGCAAGACCGTCCCCACACTCTCAGGAGGGTGGTCTCCTCTGCCTGCTGCAGCTGCCTATACTCCCCCAGGAGGGCCAGAGTCCACCCCATCCCGGGGCAGGCAGGATGCTCCCAGGAGTTGACATGTCTAGGGTTCTCCTCTCCATCAGGCCCAGAAGCAGCAGAGATGGGGTCACCTAGGAGAGTCCAGGCCTGGCATCGGGTGGCCAGTGGCACTGGTGGCCCAGATCACAGGTAATCACACTCTAGGCTCCTCCCTGGAAAGCTCAGGGCAAGAAGGAAGGCTCAGAGCTGCCACCTCGTGGCTGTTTGAGGCCAGCACCTACCACACCAAGCTCGCTCCCCAGGGCGCAGAGCCTGCACTCCAGAAAATATCAGAAATGATTTCTGAATCACTTGAACCCAGGAGTCAGAGGTTGCAGTGAGCTGAGATCGAGACATTGCACTCCAGCCTGGGCAACAAGAGCAAAACTCCATCTCAAAAAAAAAAAAGAAAGAAATGATTTCTGAACCTAGCCTTTCTGCCTCTCCCACACACAACCCTGGGTAGACCAGGGCAAGGAGAGCAGGCACCCTAGCACCTGGCATGGCCTGGGGCCCAGAGTCCTCAGAGGTTGGAATGGAAGCTCCTTGGTTTCTGTCCCTTAGCTTCTTCTGGCTACCCTCTCCTACAGAACAGGAGAGACAGCCCGGCCAGTGCATCCCCGACCTCTCTCCTCCCATCTGTCTCAGAGGGGATGCTCTCCTTTCCTTAAGCTGGGCCTGGGGCTGCACCACCAACACCAAAGACAAGCAGACCCCCTGCCTCACTGCAGAAGCCCAAGCACCTTCTCCCAGCCCAGGTGGCTCCTCTGCAGTCTCAGCCTCCCCAAGACCTGCCCAGGCCTGAAGCGCTGGACTGCTCACGGGATGGTAAGGCAGGTGGGGGCTCAGAACACTGTCGCCCTAGACACCTGGTCCCTTCACAGGATCCTTGTCCTCCCAAGCCTCCTGCAGGGCCCAGAGGTGTAGGGTAGTTAACTCCTAGTGGAGGGACCATGCTCTGTGGGTATCTCTTCAGAGCCTCCCCCATGCCCCCAACCCACAGCCCGGCTGGGGCAGGCTCAGGGAGACCCGTGGGACAGCAGGCAGGTGAGGACTGGACTGAGACCCTGCTGGATGTGAGCTGGTGAGAGCAGAAGGCGGGGTCTAGTCATCAGGCCTCTCTTCTGGGAGATCCTCATCAATGGTGGGTGCAGGCTGGCAGCGGAAATGGTCATTCCAAATCTTAAGGAAGGTGACCCGGAACTTCTGGATGCGGAAGGCGTAGACGATGGGGTTCATGGCCGAGTTGCCGTGCGTGAGGAAGATGGCAATGTAGGTGAGGATGCTGGGCTTGTGGCAGGACGGGCAGAAGAGGGTGATGCAGTTGAGGATGTGCAAAGGCAGCCAGCTGAGGGCAAAGAGGAAGAGGATGAGGGCCAGTGACTTGGCGATCTTCAGCTCCTTCCCGTAGTACTTCTGCGGGTCGCCAGAGGAGGCCGACACCTTCTTGTTGAGCTGCTTGCGGATCAGGTAGAAGACCTCCAGGTAGATGAGGACCATGAGGAGCAGCGGGGGCAGCACCCACACGAAGAAGTTGAAGTAGACCATGTACTCCATGCTGATGACCTTCTCGAACTCACACTTGATCACGGGCTCCCCCACGCTGCCATTGGCCTCCCAGGCCCGCTCCACTGCACTCAGATTGTTCCAGCCAAACATAGGGGTCAGCCCCACCACGAAAGAGAGGATCCAGCAGCCGGCGATGGCCACCGCTGCCCTCCGGGGGGTCACCACCATCTTGTACCTGGGAGAGAGGAGGGCAGAGTGTCAGGATCTGCCTCCCAGCTGCCTCAAAGGGCCCCTCTGAGGCACACCTGGCCTCCAGGGGCCTCTAAGAGGAGCCCCTCCCCATCCAGGGCCCGGTGAGCAGGGAGGTGTGTGTCTTTTGCTCGAAGGTTGAGTCTTCAGGATCTAAGATTTAGTGCTTGCCATGCATTGGCTCATTCTCCTGTGAAGAGAGGAAATCCTGATTAATGACAAAAGTAGTAATAGAAAATTACAAAGGACCTCCTTTAGAAATGTCAAGGAAATGACCACAGTAAACATTGCTCCCATGCACTCAGCACGCCCTCCCTGGTTATCTCATCATTGCTTCACGACAGCCTGCATCGCATAGGAAGGCACTGGCCGAGTGCGGACTGCCCAACTGACAGATGAGGAAACTGAGGTTTAAAGTAGTCACAGGATCTGCCCAAGGCCACATGGAAGGTGGCAGTGCTGTCCCATGCTTCCTAAAACACGTCTAAACACTGACCAAAATGGCCAGGTAATTAAAAAACGATCTGTCCCTTCTCTTGGGCCAGTGAACACAAACGTCATTTCAAAAAAGCTTTCACACAACTCCCCTTCTTTGGGCCTTGCCCATACTCCCCTGCCAGTGCCTCACCTCCCACCTCCATATCAACTTCCTGTTTCCCCTCCTGATCACTGTGTAGCACTTACCTCCTAAGGGCTTGATCTCAAGAACCAGCTCTGCATTCCCAAGCTTACTGTGAATGATGCTCAGGAAAGAAAACTGACATTCACTGAGCATCTACTACGTGCTAGATACTTGCACTCATTCACTCATGCATTTACGCATGCATACGTGGATGCATTCATTCAGCAACAACACCTAAGAGAGGCAGACTCCCCTGCCTCATTTATCGAGTGTTTTCTGTGCTAGGCATTGCTCTCTGTGCTAAGATAAAAGATCCACACTTTTACATATCTCACATTTTGGGTGAAGGGACACATAACTCACAAGCAAGAAAATAAACAACAACTACAGATCATTTTACGTCCTTTAAAGGAAATAGGCTGCATCAAGGGACAGAGCCTCTAACTTTTTTCACATCACAAAGAAGATGGAAACATCTGGATGACAAGGCTGCTCATGAGCCACAAGGGTTGGGCGTTTTCATATCTCAGGGGTTCCTACCTCCCTTTAAACCAATCTAGCCAGCAGCCATCACAGCTTCTGCCTACACACTGGCCTTGGAGACAGTGCCAAGGGCTGGGTCTTACCCAGTTCTGTGTTGAGGAGCCGGCTGAACGGCAGCAGCTTGCCCAGTTGTTATTTTCCAATGCAGCTTCTGAAATTGATGGAGTGCCCACTCAAGCACATAAACAGCTCCTGAGACCCAGCAGTGTGAAGGGAGAGGCTGCCGACTGCTTCCTTCTGCCCCAGGACGCAGAATCCGCAGCCTTCTGCATGATGATGATGCGTAAAGTCTCTCTCGCCCTGGACAACGCTTCTTCTAGACCCTTTACCATCTATCAAAGCTCACCTGCTCTGTGAAGGCTATGGAGGTAGGAAGGAGGACAGTTTGCAGAGTCGGAGGAACCAGATACCCCCTCTCCACCCCACCGAGAAGATAAGGACTACAAGATACCTTTGGAATCTCATTTTCCATCCCTTCATTGTCCCAGTGAAGAAATTGAGTAGATGACTCCAATACCTTTAGAGCAGTTCTCCTCCCCCACTCTGTGATCATAGAATCCTTGTGCCCCAAACCACCACCAAAGGCCTTGAGAGGTAACCAGTTCACTTATGCCTCTGAAGTTTTCTTAGATACAATCTTCACTCTCTTGCTGTAATGGAAGCCCATTCCCTCCTCTGTATCCTCAGCAGAATGGCCAGGCCTGGTACAGACACTGGGAGTCAGAAGACCCAAATTTGGGCAGCCCGTCTGCAACTTGCTAGTCAGTTTCTCCTCTGTAAAGGAGACCTACTTCAGAGGGAGAGGATCAAATGAGATACTACGTGTGCAATTACTCTGTAAACACCCGACCAGTATTCCTTTGCCTGAGCCCTTCTTATCCCTCCAAGCTCCTAGACAAATGCCCATCTGGAAAACGCCAGTATCTCTAGATGCTCAGCAAACACAGGCTGAGGGCTATTTAAACATCTCACTTACGTCTTGTTCCTGACCATCTCAAAGTGTTCCCCACGTGTCCTCTCAGATACGGTGGAAAAAGTTCTGGGCGTGAGCATACGGGGAAAGACCAAAGGAACATCATTCATTCTGAGGGCTAAGGGATGCTGTCTCAGCAGTCACACAGCGGAAGGCGGGGCCAGGTCCCCAGGTGAACCTCAGCAAGGAAAGAGAGCTGCCGATGCAGAGAGAAGGGTGGGGCCCGGTGTCCTGCCTACCCCCACCACCCATCATATCTGCCATTTTACTACATTTGTCATTTACAAATGCCTTTCTCAGTCCTGTCTCAGGTAATCCCCATAACCACTGCTGTGGCGAGCACAGCAGATGAGGGAATCCCCATTTCACAGATTAGAAGCTCCACTGGCCTGGGTCTCCTGACTTCAAGCCCAGCTCTCCTTCAGGGTGCCAGGCTGACTGTGGGTTGTTGAGATGCAGATGATTGGCAGGTTGAAAATATCCCTTGCCTAAGAGATTTAAAATGGGAACTTCTAGATCTTGCCCAAAGAGGGCACCACCCCGAGTCAGTGGGGTTGGCCAGGTGACCTCCGGTGCTGCCGTCCAGCCTATGGATTGGGAGATTTAGCCTGGGACCCATAACTGGGCAGTGATGATCTGTGGAGAAAGGAGAGGTAGGAGGACAGAAGGAGGAGGTGACTTAGCTAGAGAGGTGCCTCCCTCCCCTCTTCTTTCCTCACTCCTCACCCTGCTGACCGCCTGGAGCCCCCAGGGTTAAAGCTTTCCTGGGGCTCCTCCAGGACCCAGTCCCAATAGACCCTACAGCTTAGGGTATCAGCTCTCATCTGTTTTTCTTGCTATTTTCTCCCTGGTGGGAAAGGGCTGGACCCAAGACCTTGGCTGCGGTGGGGCAGGCTCTCACAGGAAGGGCTACCTCCCAGGGCCAGGGGAAAAACTCACCTCTCCTTACATGTGGAAAAGGAGGTAGAAGCTGTGAGTTCTGGGGCATGCATGGGGTGGGGTGTGTGGAAGGTGCCTCTGACTCTTGGGAATGCCCCTCCCAAGTCCACAGTATCCCCGAGGACTGTGTGGGAGCTAAGCAGGGAGGTGCTGCTCTCAGGAGTGTGCAGCTCAGGCAGACACTAACGGGGGAGCAACAGAATGGAGACAGGAAAACACCAATGGGGCCCGTCCACAGGCCACCAGGTCAGACAGTGTCTTAAAGACAGCCCTGAGGGAACCAGGGAGAGCCCCACCACCTCCAGAATCTCCCTCAAAGTGCATAAAATCCCAGGAGGAATGCAATGTTCCTTTGGGTTAAGAGTTGGCTTCTCTGTGTGCTCTTTATTTATTTATTTATTTTACTGAGACGGGTCCCCCTACGTTTGCCCAGGCTGGTCTCAAACACTTGCACTCAAGCAGTTCTCCCACCTTGACCTCCTAAAGTTCTGGAATTGCAGATATGAGCCACCTCGCCCACCTGTGTGTTGTTTTTAAAAGCTAAGAGAACATGAACTGTGTAGTATGAATTCGTTTATTAGTCAGAACGTCTCATGGATGACGGTAACATGAAAAGACTGAGTCCCAGGAGCAATGGGCTACAGAGACCTTGGGAGGGAAAGGCATAGCTTGAGGAAAGAAACGGAAGGGGGTTCCCGCTGAGCCTCTCAGTGTTATCAAGATCTGGTGGCTGAACAGAAAAGGAGTTCATATCATAACTGCAGCAAGATCGCCAATGTGGTTTACAGGTGGAAATGAGGAAACAAAGTCTACAATTCCTGCGTCCAACTAGGGCAGGGCAGAGAAAGCCACTGGTTCTTCCCAGGACACCCTGGCAGGGCTGCCATATGAGGGGTGGGAGATTCTGGTGGCTAAGTGAGGCAGGAGCTCAAAAAGAATAGTTATCTGATCAATAATAACAACAAAAATGCTGGTAAGTGCTAACATGTATTTGTATGTGTTGGGCACTGGCTATTTATTTATTTAAGAGGTAGAGTCTCACTCTGTCCCCTAGACTGGAGTGCAGTGGTGCAATCACAGCTAACTGTAACCTCAAACTCCTGGACTCAAGGGATCCTTCCACCTCAGCCTCCTGAGTAGTTGGGACAAGTGTGTGCCCTCATGCCCAGCTACTTTTAAACTTTTTTGTAGAGATGGGGTCTCACTATGTTGCCCAGGCTGATCACAAACGCCAGGGCTTAAATGATCCTCCTGCCTTGGCCTTCCAAAGTGCTGCAATTACAGGCATGCGCCGCTGTGCCTAGCCCTGGGCACTGACTTTGTGGACATGGTTTTATTGGTACCTCAGCACAACCTTTTCAGTTAGATACTACAGGTTGAGCATCCCTAATGTGAAAACCCCAAATCCCAAATGCTCCAAAATTCAACACTATCTGAATGCCAACAAGATGCTCAAAGAAAATGTTCTTTGAGCATTTCCAATTTCCAGATTAGGGATGCTCAACCAGTGAGTATAAGGCAAATACTCCAAGATTTAAAAAAATCCAAAGTTGGAAACACTTCTGGTCCTACACATTTTGGATAAGGGATACTCAACCTGTATCATTATTTTCATTTCCTAATTGCAGTAACTGAGACTTGGAGAGATTAGAAAACATGTCCAAGGCCACTCTGCCAGGAAAAAGCATGAAAAGAATGTCTAAGACTCCAGTATGTCCAAGTGCAAAACCCATGTTGGATTCAGCTCTGCCACTCTGGGAGATGGAGAACGCGTGGGGATTGGAGGGTGGAAGCTTGGAGCAGAAGAAGGGAGCCATGGCTAGGACCTGGAAGGCAAGCCTCTCCTGCTCCAGGCAAATCTCACTGGACTAAGTAGTGGTGAGGATGCCGTCGTACCTTGCCTGGGAGC